TTATATTCCATCACAGATTATAATATTCCATCATAGATTATATTATATTCCATCACAGATTATAATATTCCATCACTGATTATAATATTCCATGACAGATTATATTATATTCTATCATAGACTATAATATTCCATCATAGATTATATTATATTCCATCTCAGATTATAATATTCCATCATAGATTATATTATATTCCATCATAGATTATAATATTCCATCATAGATTATATTATATTCCATCATAGATTATATTATATTCCATCATAGATTATATTATATTCCATCACAGATTATATTATATTCCATCATAGATTAAAATATTCCATCATAGATTATATTATATTCCATCATAGATTATATTATATTCCATCAGAGATTATATTATATTCCATCTCAGATTATAATATTCCATCATAGATTATATTATATTCCATCACAGATTATAATATTCCATCATAGATTATATTATATTCCATCACAGATTATAATATTCCATCATAGATTATATTATATTCCATCACAGATTATAATATTCCATCTCAGATTATAATATTCCATCATAGATTATATTATAATATAATCTATGATATATATTATAATATATCCATCAGAGATTATAATATTCCATCATAGATTATATTATATTCCATCATAGATTATATTATATTCCATCACAGATTATAATATTCCATCACAGATTATAACATTCCATCATAGATTATATTATATTCCATCACAGATTATAATATTCCATCATAGATTATATTATATTCCATCACAGATTATAATATTCCATCACTGATTATAATATTCCATGACAGATTATATTATATTCTATCATAGATTATAATATTCCATCATAGATTATATTATATTCCATCTCAGATTATAATATTCCATCATAGATTATATTATATTCCATCATAGATTATAATATTCCATCATAGATTATATTATATTCCATCATAGATTATATTATATTCCATCATAGATTATATTATATTCCATCACAGATTATATTATATTCCATCACAGATTATAATATTCCATCATAGATTAAAATATTCCATCATAGATTAAAATATTCCATCATAGATTATATTATATTCCATCACAGATTATAATATTCCATCATAGATTAAAATATTCCATCATAGATTATATTATATTCCATCACAGATTATCTTATATTCCATCACAGATTATAATATTCCATCATAGATTATATTATATTCCATCTCAGATTATAATATTCCGTCATAAATTATATTATATTCCATCATAGATTATAATATTCCATCATAGATTATATTATATTCCATCACAGATTATATTATATTCCATCATAGATTATATTATATTCCATCACAGATTATATTATATTCCATCACAGATTATAATATTCCATCATAGATTATAATATTCCATCATAGATTATATTATATTCCATCACAGATTATTATATTCCATCATAGATTATATTATATTCCATCACAGATTATAATATTCCATCACTGATTATAATATTCCATGACAGATTAAATTATATTCCATCTCAGATTATAATATTCCATCATAGATTATATTATATTCCATCACAGATTATAATATTCCATCACTGATTATAATATTCCATGACAGATTAAATTATATTCCATCATAGATTATATTATATTCCATCTCAGATTATAATATTCCATCACAGATTATTATATTCCATCATAGATTATATTATATTCCATCACAGATTATATTATATTCCATCACAGATTATATTATATTCCATCACAGATTATAATATTCCATCATAGATTATATTATATTCCATCACAGATTATTATATTCCATCATAGATTATATTATATTCCATCACAGATTATAATATTCCATCACTGATTATAATATTCCATGACAGATTAAATTATATTCCATCTCAGATTATAATATTCCATCATAGATTATATTATATTCCATCTCAGATTATAATATTCCATCATAGATTATATTATATTCCATCACAGATTATTATATTCCATCACAGATTATAAAATTCCATCACATATTATAATATTCCATCACAGATTATAAAATTCCATCACATATTATAATATTCCATCACAGATTATATTATATTCCATCAGAGATTATAATATTCCATCATAGATTATATTATATTCCATCACAGATTATAATATTTCGTCATAAATTATATTATATTCCATCACAGATTATAATATTCCATCATAGATTATATTATATTCCATCACAGATTATAATATTCCATCATAGATTATATTATATTCCATCACAGATTATATTATATTCCATCACAGATTATAATATTCCATCATAGATTATATTACATTCCATCATAGATTATAATATTCCATCACAGATTATATTATATTCCACCACAGATTATATTATATTCCATCACAGATTATATTATATTCCATCACAGATTATATTATATTCCATCAAAGATTATAATACTTCATCACAGATTATAATATTCCATCATAGATTATATTATATTCCACCACAGATTATAATATTCCATCACAGATTATATTATATTCCATCACAGATTATAATATATTCCATCATAGATTATATTATATTCCATCACAGATTATATTATATTACATCACAGATTATAATATTCCATTATAGATTATATTATATTCCACCACAGATTATAATATTCCATCATAGATTATATTATATTCCATTACAGATTATAATATTCCATCAGAGATTATAGTATTTCATCATAGATTATATATTCCATTAAAGATTATAATACACCGTCACAGACTATACTTGCACAGATTATAAGGTGTACAGATTGTACTCCGGCATAGACTATAATAGTTTGCTACAACTGCCATACCTCCGCCATACATGCTTCTTACATGCACGCTTTACATACGCGCTTACATACAGACTTTACCATCCCGTTGTAGATTATATAACGTACACATTGTTAAAATTACTGAAAATTTAACGTATTTTGATACATGATACTGTATTAAAATATTTATTCAGTGAAAACTCAATGTAATCATATTTTCAGGTGATAGACAACGAGCGGTACACATTCAGTCCTGACTGGTTCTCATTCGGATGTCTCGTGTACGAGATGATAGAGGGTCGGGCGCCATTCCGCGCGCGCAAGGAGAAGGTCAAACGAGAAGAGGTCGACAGGAGGGTTAAGGTAAGGCTATCTCTTTCACACGCGTCTACTATCCGTATTTTCTTTCTCTTTCTTATTTACAAATTTAAGCCTTAACAGATAGCGGTATAATCTTGGATGGATAGATTTATTAATTCTTCAATTCAAACAAAACCCTTCTGTTTTATATTAATACTAGCTGTTGCCCGCGACTCCGTCTCCGTGGAATTAAAAAAAAAAACTTAATTAGTAGCCAATTTGTTCTTCCAGACTATGTATGTATGCCAAATTTCATCGAGATTCGTTCAGCCGTTCCGGAGATACCTTCAAACAAACATCCATCCATCCATCTATCATTTGTAGTAAGATATTAGTAAGATTAGAAAAAGGAAAGTTTTGTTTGCTTGCCTTTAAGTTTCCGAAAATACTTGATCGATTTGAAAAAATCTTTCACCACGAAGCTACATTCCCATGGTGACATGGGCTGTTTTTTTTATTAAAAATATCTAGGAGATTTTAGTAAATTTACTAATATTTCTTATACCATTCCAACTAAGCTCTAAGCTCGTGTTAGATGTTTAATAGTCAAAGGGATTCGAATCCGCGACCTCATCGGAAATCCGTACTTTTAACCATTAGGGTACTGGCGTTTTAGTATTCTGTCCGTATGTCGCGGGCAACTTGCTTGCTGTAGACAGAAAATCATGTGATTTCTAGCATGAACAAGAGAAGTATTCAAGCAAGTTCAGTGAGTGCGCGCGAGCTTTGTGCAGCGCGCTGTTGGCCAAGAGTTGTGCCAGCAGGCTGGGCGGTGCGGGCAGACGCGGAGCTGATACTGTTAAAGCACATCGCTTCTTCCAAAGGCTCAACTGGCCTAGACTTGAAGCTGGATTACTAGAAGCACCTTTTGTACCTGATGTATGTATTTTCAACTGTATCGATGTGACGCAACACTAGCCTTACTAAAATGTCAATTATGTCCCCTCACTAATCATTCTGACATTTGACTTTGTAACAAAAGCGCAATTCACGCCAAAGGATTTTAACTAATAATGTCTAAAATTAGTCCTAGAATCCTTTGACGCGAATTGCGCTTTTGTTACAAAGTCAAATGTCAGAATGATTAGTGAGGGGACATAATTGACATTTTAATAAAGCTAGTGTTGCGTCACACCGGCATGTCAGATTTTCTTCGTAACAGTCCTTTCAAATGTTGTGTGTTTTTAATATAGGATTATTCATCATCATCTTATTGTTCTGCCCTTCTTCCATATCAATATATCTGCCGTCATCTCAGTCGTCACCTCCTGAATCATGTTAACTGTCTCGTAATCCATATTATTCATAATTATTAATCTTCCTCGTCATCAGCGTCAAATAAAAAAAAACTTAGTTGTGTTCTTCTAGACTGTTCTACATCTATGCCAAATTTCATCAAGATCTGTTGAACCGTTTTGGTGATACCTTCAAACAAACATCCATCTAAATGCATGGGAAGGGAAGATATTTTCTTTCTGTACATCCTCTCCTCCGTTGATTAAAGGTCACAGTCAGTCGCACAAACAGTCACTTCGCTATTTCAGCGATTTCAGGTGGCTCTCGTTTGCCACCATATTATGTTATATAATATTAGTAACAAGTAAAACACTGAACGAAAGCAAAGTCAGTAGAAAAATCTAATAGACAAACAAAATGGCATAGAAATTGTAGGTATAATAGTGTTTATAATCCATTGGTGGTTATGTACACTGACAGCCGCACGCGGTGTACGCGAAGGACGTATTGGACATCGAGCAGTTCTCCACGGTGAAGGGGGTGAACCTGGACGCGGCTGACGACACTTTCTACGGCAAGTTCAACACCGGCAGCGTCAGCATCCCCTGGCAGTGCGAGATGATTGAGACCGGCTGCTTCAATGAACTCAATGTATTCGCTAGAGGTTAATATATCTAGGCAACATTTTTACACGTTATTAATTAGAATCCTTTGTCGCGAATGACGCGCTTCCGTTACAAAGTCAACTGTCAGGATTAAATTATAGAAACTTTAATAAAGTACAGTCAGCGTCATTGTCAGTGGTGTACTTCCAGGTGAGGACAACAAGGAGTGCCGCACCCCGGACCTGCAGCTGACGCCCGCAGTCAGCCCGCCCGAGGAGGAGGCGGGCTGCTTCATGTTCGCACGACGGGTCAGTTTAAAACTCAATACCTTTACTTACCTTTATTATTCTACTAGCAGTCGTCCGCGACTCCGTACGCCCGGAATTAAAAAAAAAAGCTTAATTAGTAGGCTATATGTTCTTCCAGACTATATTCTATAATTATGTCAAATTTCATCGAGATCCATTCGGTCGCTCTAGAGATACCTTCAAACATCCATCCATACATCCAAACTTTCTTATTTATAATATTAGTAAGACTACATCTGTTAACAGATTTTTGCATAAAAATAATACTTGTAACTGTTCTTATTCTCTAAAAATAATACAAAGATTTATATTATTTACATAAAATTAACATCGATCTTTTAAATAAGACAAAAAAATCCATAATGGTGAGTATTCATTGAGCGTCGGTGGTTCAGGGGTCAAGCACTTGACTTGCAATCTACAGGTTCTGGGTTCGAATCCCGCCATGTGCCAATATGTTTTTTCGATTTCCGATTTACATATGTACATTTGTCGTTCTTACGGTGAAGGAAAACATCGTGATGCTGCACATATCTGAGAAGAAATTCAAAGATATGTGTGAAGTCAACCAAAGCGCACTCAACTTAGAGTAGGCTCTGACCGCTTCAGTAGGGACGTATAGTGAGCTGATGGACGAGTAATTTTTATTTACTTATATTTCCAGACGCTGTGCCCCCAGAAGAAGATACCTCCCAGACTTCGTCCGATACCTGTGCCGGAGCATCTCCTCAACAACACACAGACGCACGCGCACGCGCACGCGCACGCGAACAGCTGATGAAACTCCTCCACCTACACCGCACTCCACTGTACCTATACAATCTTACACATTCACACTAAAACTTTCTAAACTGACCGAACTCACCATTTGAGAGAAGATTTACACTAAGGGTCACACTTAAGAGATATCGCATAGGAAAGAGACATATCTGTACGTCTCTTTCTGTGTCTATTAAATGTAGGCAAGACATCTGTAATCGTGAATGTCTGAAAAGCAGTTATTTCGCTATTTTGGCGAAAGCCGCTTGTTTATTTGCCTACTAATATTATAAAAAAGACCTTTATAAAGATTTTTCAATTTTTTTCAAGATAATTTAAGTTCACATTTGAACGTAAATTATGTAATTCAGTTAACAAAGTTTTAGTGTTAATTTTAACATATTAAATACTGTTTGGTACAAGAAAAAGGTAAATCACACTCAATAATGGTGTCATGGTGGCATCAAATATGTCATTAAGTTTACTCAGTTGTCAAAGACGTAAAGTTTGCTGTTTAAATGGATATGTCAGTTTGAAACAAATGTTTGTCAAATAATGCACTCATAGTCGTTAAATGGGCACTAAGGGAGACCCTTGGTGTTGATTTATACTAAGAGATTGTTCGTTAAACATGTGATATTTTATTAGTAATTCTATGACTTCCTATCAGTCTCCTTTTGGTGATATTAAATTTGAAGCTAACCAAATACTAGTTGTCGTCCGCGTCTCCGTTCGTGCGGATTTAAAATTAGTAGCCTATGTGTTCATCCAGATTGTGTGAGTTTATTGAGGTGTTTCAATCCGTTCTGGAGATACTTTCTAACAAACATCCATCCATCCATACATCAAAACATTCGCATTTATAATATTATTAAGATTTAAAATGTTTATAATTTATTTATTAAGTTAAATTTATCAGTCAGAGAAAAAATAAACCTAATATTCCCCCCTCCCCCTTTTTGTGATTTTTCGTGATTTCTCCCCCCGACATTTTGACTTTCACCTGATTAATGAACGATCCCTTAATTATTATTTAAGTAATCATTATGAGTGCAGTAAATCTAAATTAAAGATTTATTTATTTGAGAAATTTGACAAGTATTTGTAAAAAGTACTTTGATAAATTAAATTTAAATCAATATAAAGATTAATTATAAAATACTCACGCACAAACATAGCTGTCATATTTGGGGGTAAACAGTATCAATAAAATAGACGTAGGTTTTTACTGCGCGCACAAAACATGTTGACATCTATAATTACCTACTGGGTTTCCACTGCCGTGACACTTGTCATTTCATTATCTTTAAAAAAAAATAAGTTAGTAGAATAAGACTCTTCGTATACAAGATACCTGGAACTTGGCAATTTTAATCGCTTAGCGACTTATGCAATGTCTTAAAGGTTTGTACAGTCGCCTCGCCGACATTTTTTCAGTGGCCGGCAACTTGTTTGTTACGATCTTTGGTAAAGTGGCTACGATTTTCAATTTAGCGAAGCAAATCTTTTTTGAACGACGATTTGCGTCGACGATTTAGTGTTGTACGTAACGCGATATTCGCCAAGCAAGATTTATATTGCCTTGAGTACGAAGAGACTTAGAAGAAATTGTCTTTCGGCAGTGTAAACCCACGGTTATGAATGCAAAATTATAGTTTATCAACAATGAATCTTGCTTCTAGTTTTCTAGAGTACGAAAGCTTTGATAGTGTAAATGCATCATGAACAAATTAGTTTAGTTACAGGAAATAGATTTCCCGACTACGAATACGATTTTAATTACTATAGAAAAAAATGTCTTTGTTTAAACTTTTTTACTCTTTGATAAAAGTTTACTCTTTGATTTTGAAATTGTCATAGAGTAAAAAAATATTTTTTTACTCTATGACAATTTTTTTTTCATAGAGTAAAATAATTGTAGAAGTGAAAATGTATAATTTATCTGCATATAATTGTGGGTTTCCACTGCACTTGCAACAACTTTGATTCTCTTTGTAAAATCTAAGATAACATGTTTTTGTACAAATATTTGCAGTGGAAACTCATTTTGAAATAACACAAACATATTAAAAAGTCGGGTTTTAGTTAATCACTTTTGTATTATATTTAAATTTCATTTTAAATGACAATAGATTTTTTATGTGGCAGTATGGGCTTAATTACGTACTCAGAATCATAGTTATTGGCTAATTAACATTTCTGAGTACGGCAATTAATGTTTCACCGACTGATTTATGCAATTTTTTTAATATAGCAACACTGGAAAGGGAATCGATTTTTTTCGTGGCTCTATTATATAAACTTTCGCCTCACATTATTTTAAAATGGAAACACTTATTTTTATTAATTCTTAATTTTCACAATTGATATAAAAATTATGATATTATTTATTTTAAGAATCAATTTTTCTAAAAGTTTTTTGATATTAATCATTTTTGAATAGTTTTTTGTGTCGTCATTTTGATATTTGAAATGTTAATATTACGATGGCATTTTTTGAATTGATTAGGAATAATTAGAAACGATGAAAAATTAGATTTCATTAAAAAATATTCGCTTAACTAGAATCGGTTCAGGAGACGAAATAATCTTTGTTTACATTAAAAAAAAAACATCGCGCCAAAATGAAAAAAAACAAAATGGCGATGTGTCAAATGAGAATTACAATCGTGTTTATTTTAACATACACTTTTATTTATAATTTAAAATTAAAACAGTTGATTTGAAATAATTTTTTTTTAAATAAATCGTCTCCTGTTGATAGGATATACATAAATGCGATTGCAAGGTTTGTGATCGGATGAGCCGAGATTAGTGGATTCACTGCGATTTCTAATTATAAAATGGTAAATAAATATTTTTATTAGTAATTAGGCGTATAAAGGTACACGTTTATTAAACCGGACGCAACGTACGGATTAAACGGATTGCAGTATCTATACAACGCTATTGTTAGGAAGAAATGAGAAGAAATTCCGATATACCGGTGTAACGCAACACAAGCCTTACAAAAATATATTTTTTTTTATTTATCAAAAGGTGACAAACGAGCGAGCGGCCACCTGAAATCGCTGAAATAGCGAAGTGACCGTTGCTCATAGACATACGCAATTGCATATGCGTTGCCTACCTTTAATCGACGGAGGAGGGGATGCACAGAAAGAAAAGATCTTCCCCTCCCATGCTTCCTCTCATCCGGAAAGTCTACTTTCACTTCCCATATTTTCCTTATAAGAAAAAGGATGGGAAGGGAAAGAGGACTAAATTAGGCCTCCGGGACGCACACTCATCAGACGCGTGTCTTCTGTATGGTCGTGGTATTTCATCGGGAGAGCCGGGACAATTCGTGCGAACATGTTAAAGCTTGCTCTATCACTATCATTTATGTCCCCTCACTAATCATTCTGACATTTGTTTTAAACTGAAATTTATTATAATTATAGTGTGTATATTTAAGATAGAGTTTGACAACTGACGCGTATAAAGTATCGAATTAATTTTGTATGACGGTTAATGTTGTACTTGATGTACGGTTGTCATAATGTCGGACTGTACGCGCACAACGAATAACTGTGAACTTACGAAAATCGATCTTGTAATTATATTAATCCAACAAATGGGTTCTATAATTTATAACTTTTTGAATTTATTACAGTTATTTGGTTATGTATCGCACAATTAATAAAAAAAAATATATATATCCCATACTCCTGCGAAACGGCTTGACCGATTCTCATGAAATTTTGTGACCATATTGAGTAGGTCTGACAATCGGTCAACATCTATTTTTAATCCAGCGTGGATGGAATCGCGGGCGACAGCTATATATAAAAGTATGTCAAATTAAAATCCGTTGCGTACGATGCGTCCGGCGCTGAATGTACGAGTACCTTTAAGCATTTATTTATTTTGATTATTTATCCCAGAATGCAATTACGTAATTATAAGAGTTGGTAAAAGCAATAATATTAAAGATATAATTTTGTAACAAATATCAAAGCATTGTGCGTCTTCTAATGTTTATATTAAAGTACGTTTTATTTAATTTTTTTTTTACTAAGAAACATACAAGTTTTTTCTTTGCTATAATTTTTAAACATTGCCAGGTGAAACTTCCATTATCTAGATGTAATTGTGAATATAAAAAAAAAACTTTTTCTATATGTACTTTTTAATATATTTTCAATTGATTGCGTGTTTGTGTATTGTTATATTAGAAACATATAGTGACATTGATATTATTAACTCTATATGAAATTAAATTTAAGGTAATCTGGATTCGCCGAAATAGCGAAAGAAACAATAGACATCCGTATCAGATGTGTTGCCTTTAATCGGCAGATGCACAGAAATTGAATTACTTCCTAGTGCTCCCTTTTCCGTCAAATCCACTTCCCTTTTCTTTCCTTTCATTGTAAGTAAAAGGTGGGAAGGGAAATGAATTCAAATTAGGCCGATATCACACTCATCGGAATACATTTGCACCTCGCAATGCGGTTTTCAAAATAAACTCTCTTTGTTATTAAATACACAAATTTTTATCATCGTTCTGCCTATATACCTAATAGGGTCACTTTATGTCATTCTATAATACGAAGTGCGTTATCGTGGGTTTCCGAGACCGTAACTACCGTTTAAAACATCTCTCTGTTTTGACAAAGATGAAAGATAGAGATAATATGTTTTATAAAGAACACAATTTTTATGTTTTTAAAATTTAATTTAATGATAAAAATTACCTTAAAAAAAGTAATACGTTATTGTTTATTTGATAATATCAATGTCACTTTATCGATAAAATTCGATGATCATTGTACATCACTAAATACGTCAATCGCACAAAATACCTTCAACGTCGCCGTTTAACCGTAGAATTACACTGCAGTGATAATTGTATTACTAAAAAGCGTATAACATGCCTGCGTATAATCACCCTTAACTTAGGGTAGGCTCCGAGCCCCTCGGTGGGGACGCATAGTGAGCTGATGATGATGATGTATAACATGCCCGCGTTCATCAGCTACCTTGATTCCGGAACAAACAGACATACAAACAAAAATTTGATTTTCGTTGCAATTGTTTGCGAAATATGATTTTTTTTTCGATTATTATCAATATAGACACTTATTTCATCGCTAGTGACTCAGGGGTTTTGTTACTTGACTTGTAATCTGCAGGTCCTGGGTTCCAACCATGTACCAATGTGTTTTTCGATTTCCGATTTTCATATGTACATTTATCCGACGTTCTTACGGTGAAGGAAAACATCGTGATGCTTCACATATCTGAGAAGAAATTCAAAGATATGTGTAAAGTCAACCCGCACTGTTCCATCATTAGCTTAGTCACTAGCTTAGGGTAGACTTCGAGTCCTTTAAGCTGATGACTTCCAATTTTAATCATTGTATAGTTGTCTTTATTTTGATAAAGAAAATGAAAGGGACGTAATGATGTTTCTGCAGTAGAATTGCACGGTTAAAGTAACTGTCCATTCCAAATTCATACCGCCATAGTATATATAAATATATAACAATAATATAAATTGTCTGTCGGCGATGTTGAAGGAAAAAACTCTTATATACAAGACCACACTGACTTATTAAAGCTGTGCCCGCGACTTCGTTAGCGTGGTTGTTGTAACTTAAACCGTTTGCAGCGCACGCAACGAAAGTCCTCTAATGTGAATAATTTTCCCCGTTTTTGAAAACATTTCTCACGATTCGCTCCTATTGGTCGCAGAGTAATGTTATATAGCCTAAAGCCTTCCTTTATAAATGGACTATTCAACAAAAAAATAATTTCAAATCGGACTAGTAGTTCCTGAGATTAGCGCGTTTAAACAAACTCTTCCGCTTTATAATTTTAGTATAATTTGATTGGAAAGTTTTTTAGTATTTTTACTAATTATTTTTACCATAGTAACAGTAAAATTTAATATATAAGCTATTATAACTGTCTACAATAGATTAAAAATCATAGTAATAATACGACAGTGGAAACTCAACGTTAGAAAAGTATTCTTGTTTTAAATTGTTCACAATTTATTTACGTAATAAGTCGTGAAGACTAAAATATTATAAAAAAAAATCAGCTGCATTTAAGTGTTAAGTCAGTGTGGTATAGTTAATAATTGGTTTCTGAGACTGAAAATTGCTTTGACATAACAGGAGGGTTAGACAAAGTGCATTCGTTTTGAAGTAATACCATAACGAACTCCAAAAATGTATAGGACTGAACTTTGGATATGTCACGTGATTGTCGCGCCTCAGTTCCGTTGATATTCGTTATAGAATCGCTTCAAAGCGAATGCACTTTGTATAAACCCGCAGTGATATATAAGACGATTTCGGTCTCAGAAACCTTCGGTAAATGAAGTAGATATTTATTCATCAGAATGTATGTAATATGCAATTGTTTGCAGGAATTTGTATGGATTTTTTTATTGTTAAACGCGTTGTGAAACTAGACTTATGATCGTAAATAAAAATGTTTTTATATCAACATTTAATTAACACATTCAATGCTATTACGTATTAATGTACCAAAAATTTAACAGAAAGCACTGAACGTGTTAATAATTGGAAGTAAATTTACAAATATTAAAACTACCCAAATATCTATCGGTAATAATAATTGAAAAGCATTAATATGTCAAATTAACGACAAAATAATATTTTTAATCATCATACCAGTTTTTTTTTTATTTAAATTGGTAATTTTTAGATGTTACACCTGGCAACACTGGTATTATTGTCAGTGGCAACACAGGTATAGTTTCACTTCGCGTACGTTACCTGTGTCATACTCATTTGGATGCATTTGATGAGTTGTATGGAGAGTTTTGTATTAATATTGCGTCGCCCCCGCGCGGCGCGGCGTGTAAACTTAGCTTCCTTGGTACAGTTAGTCGTTATTGCAGTATTTTGATGCAAATATTATTAATAAATAAGCGTATTCCTAAATAAATTGACTCCAATTTCATAATGTCTTTTATTTATTTCAACAAAAATTTTAAGACCAATCTTATAAATATCATAATCGCGAATGTTTAGATGGATGGATGTTTGTTAGAAGGTATCTCCGTAAGGGATCAATTTGGCACAAATGTAGGACGTAATCTTAAAGAACACATAGGCTACTTAAGTTTTTTCCGCGCGGACGGAGTCGCGGGCGACAGCTAGTGAGACAAATCTTAATAATATTACAAATGTGAAGGTTTAGATTGATAGATGGATGTTTGTTAGAAGATATCTCTAGAACAACTCGACGAGTCTTAATGAAATGTTGCATAAATGTAGAACATAGTTAAGAAAAACACTTGGGTTACTTATTACGTTTTTTTTTAGTTCTGTGCGGACGGAATCGCAGGCAACAACTAGTCAAAAATCAGCCATAAATAAAAATTCGATACAAAATAAAATCTTTTATTAATTAGGCACTTATTTTCTTCGCTTTCTTATCTGTATAAATTCTTTGGAACAACACGAACTTTCCCGGCTGTATATTTGCATGAACAGCGCCATCTATCCACGAGGGAGTTTCACAGTGTTGCCAGTTTCTACAATCTTTTGGTACTTGTAATTTATCCAACAACTGTGTTGCCAGATCCGGTATCAAAGGTTGTAATATTATAGAACATATTCTTAATGTTTCCGTTATTATATAAAGAACTGCATCCAATTGTTCTTGAGAATTTTTTTTCTTTAATTCCCAAGGTTTTTGTGTTTCAAAGAATAAATTAGCTAAATGTAAAACATGGATAACTGAGTCCGCTGCTTTGTAGAATTGATAATTGCTGTAGTAACCATGACATAGTTCTGGAATATAAAATTATTTTGATTTTTAAGTAAAAGAGTATGATAACAGGAAGTGTTTCATTTAATTACAGTAGTTCAGAGAGCGTCAGTAACTCAGGAGTCAAGCACTTGACTTGTCTGCACATCCTGGGTTCGAATCTCGTGATGTCCCAATGTGTTTTTTGGTTTCTGATTTACATATGTACATTTATCCGACGTTCTTACGGTAAAGGAAAACATCGTGATGCTGCATATATCTGAGAAGAAATTTAAAGATATGTGTGAAGTCAACCCGCACTTGGCCGGCATTTATTATGACCTAGTCAACTAAGGGCTCCGAGCACCTCAATGTGAACGTATAGTGAGCTGATGATACCTGGCAGTCTCTCCACCGCGTCCATGAGTTTCCCTGTCGTATCCTCTCCCCTGCAGGCGGTGAGGGTGTGAGCAGAGACGGTGTTGTGTGTGTGCGGTGTGTGCAGTGTGTGCGATGTGTGCAGTGTGTGCGATGTGTGCAGTGTGTGCGATGTGTGCAGTGTGTGCGATGTGTGCAGTGTGTGCAGTGCGGGCGCGGCGCAGCGCGAGGCGAGGTTGCCGAGTGTGTCCGCCAGCTCAGAGTTTGCGATGTTTATTAACTTCGTCTCACTAAAATCTGTATGACAAACAGAACTCAAAAAATATATAGACGACTAGCTCTCTCGCGCGACTTCGTCTACGCAAAAAGTTAATAAGTAGTCTATATGTTCTTCCAGACTATGTACTAATTATGGTATTTGTAATACGCGAACGGAGTCGCGGGCGACAGATAGATATCTGAGAAATATGAAAAATGAATATAAAAATGAAAAAAAAATCAAAAAATTTTTTTTTCACAATTAACTAATATGACCGAACACTACCAAATATTAACTAAAAAATAAAAATACTTACTAGCATCATAAGCCATGGTAGCCTCTCTCAGCAAGAGATATCTCAGTGCTGAGGGTGGAGCCCCCGCTTGCCTCGGACTGACAACATTGCCCAATGACTTTGACATCTTGGTGCCATCCACAGTCCAGTGTGCATGACACAACAGTCGCCGTGGCGGATGATAACCAATCGCCATTAGAAATGCTGGCCAATAAATACCATGGAACCTATAAAATTATTTCAAGTTAGGAAAACTCTGAGGTAGAGGATGGAGATAATTAAAATTGAAGATTCACAAGATGAAATCCAGCAAAAGATTCATCAAAGTTAATTTTTAAAAGCGTCTACGAAAGAAATTGTCGAATTTCTTTAATGAATAATGAGAAAAACTATATATCAAGAAGAACAATCTCAAAAAACAATTTTATTTCATATTCAAAGTACTCTGTAGACTATTACCTTAGCAACGACTTTCATATTCCACAAAAAAAATATGATAGTTCATAAATTAAAAAAAATTAAAAAAAAAGATTTTTAAATCGTTACAATGAGGTATAACTGACAGATGTCAAACTCTTGACACTAGCGTCACCATTTTACTTAATATAGAAATTAAATATGTCTATTTCTTTACTTGAGTATATCTTTCCCAACAACTTGAACATCAGCGGGCCAAGGTCTACCGTTCCTCTTCATCACCTCTTCATCAGGGTATCCTATCACTGAGAGGTAGTTGATGAGTGCATCCAGCCACACATAGATGCTTTGATCATCATCACCTGGCACCTACAACATAACATCTGACATCTGGAAAAGTATGGATAGCGCCTACAGAAAAAATAACGACAACTAACAAGAGTCAAATTTTTCTTTATTTATTTATTTATTTTATAAAGGTACCTACAATCATACAGTTTTTTTTTGTTTTTTTTTCTGTTACTGCGAGATGTTTTATAAAAAATTTGATCAAATCCAATAGCATCTGAACAGTCATATGAGAATAATTGATAAAAATTACATAATAAAGCGAAAAACTATTAAAAAATATGTAAATCTTACTCGAATAGCCCAATGCACTCTGGAGGAAGGTCTGCTGACTGAGATGTCCGGGAAATAAGTCTCGTTATTCAAATAATCTAAGAGTTGCTTCTGAAATCTAACCGGGGTCACCACACCGTCTGAAAATAAGACCATATGTATTCTCTTAATTATTTCTCAAGATAAATAACATTTAAACCAATTTTTTTAATTTATTCCGACTACATAGATCCATATTGTTTATTAAAGCTAATAGATTTAATAGTGGTAGAGCCCGCTTTAACATCTTCGCAGGAATTGACCTCGTCCGGTGAAATACCACGAACACACAGAAGACAGCCGTTAAGTGGAAGCAATTCCAACTACAGTCTGATGAGTGTGCATCCCGGAAGCCTAATTTAGTCATCTTTCTCTTCCCATCTTTTTTCTTATAAGGAGAGGATGGATAGTGGACTTTCCGGATGAATGAATAGGAAGGGAAAATATTTTCTGTGCATCTACTCCTCAGTAGATTAAAGGCAATGCATATGCAATTATGTCTATGGGCAACGGTCACTTCACTATTTCAGCGATTTCAGGTGGCCGCGCGCATTTTCCATCTTATGATATTAAAAAAAAATAGATCCAAATTATTTGTTAATAGATTGAGCTACTGGTCTTTAGCATCACAGTAGTTGACTACGGCCAAGTCCTCAAACTCTAAGCCTCCGAGAGTGAACTTAACTGAGGCAGTGAATTGCCACATTATATTAATTCTTTTATCCCTACTACCCCTACTTTAAGGGTTAAATACCTTCACTAAGTGTATGTTTAAATAATAATTAAAGTTTTCTGAGTAATTTGTGACATATTACCTGTTTTAAGCCAATCTTGTAAATGTGTTTTGAACGCGCTCAGTCTGAACATATAGTTGGTCTCTTCTGTCCATTCCACGCTGTGTCCTGATTCTATTGATATTTTGACCTTAAATAAATATTGTAGCTAATTTAAATAAGCAAATAATAAAAATAAATTCTTGACACAAAGAGCGTCGGTGGCTCAGGGATTAAGCACTTGACTTGCAATCTGCAGGCCCTGGGTTCGAATCCCGCCATGTACCAATGTGTTTTTCGATTTCTGATTTACATATGTACATTTATCCGATGTTCTTACGGTGAAGGAATACATCATGATGCTGCACATATCTGAGAAGAAATTCAAAGATATGTGTGAAGTCAACCAACCCGCACTTGGCCAGCGTGGTTGACTATGGCCTAATCACCCTTAACTTGGGGTTGACTCCGAGCACCTCAGTGGGGTTTTATAGTGAGCTGATGATGATTGTTGACAAATTATTCTTATTAACAGATTCAGTGTTACCAACTTAAATTAAGAGTTCAACTTTAAGACGAAAATGTTGTGTATTTAACATGTTAAAAAGGTCTTCATGATTTGAACGATGGCTATTTAAAATGAACAACTCAAGTTTATAACATCACTAACAGTGGTTTTCTGAGACAAATATATCTGTTCAAAACATGTCATCTTAGTTTTGTTAACAATGAAAGACAGGGATATGATGTATACAGAGATTTTGGTCTCAAAAACTTACGGCTAATAAAGATGACCACTGTATTGATAATTTTATGCTTAAAAAAATCTTTAAATTCTATATTTTTTGTTATTTTCGTGTTTATGGTTAAATTGTCACTAACATTTTTTCAGTTTTTATTTATTAATGATTTGAAATTCTTAATTTTTTTGGTATCTTAGTGTTTATGGTTGTCACTTACCTTTTCTCCATCAACAATATCTTCTTTTAGATGTGTCTCTGGTATGAACGCTTCATCATTGATACTGTACCAACCAGAATACTTAGCTTTGTAAATATAATCACGTTTTACTAATTCGTTCTATAAAAAAAAAAATTATCATTGGTTTTAAAAAAATAACTATCACAACTTATTTTAGACTGTTTGATATTAGATTTGTATTTTGTAGAAAAAAAATGTTTGATATATATTTTTGTTTAGCATGGTTTGAACATGTTATGCGCAGGGATGATAATGAGATTGAATGATGGCTACAAAGAAAGTATGTATGGCTTGTGTGAAAGAAGGGGGTAGATTCAGATATGATGGCTGACAAAGATGTATTGAGTACATACTGTACCGAACCTCCATAGCGATAATGGCAGGTTGACGATTTGTAGAAAAGTTTAGCATCAAATAACAACTGTTTAGTCAAAATCTTTGCAATTGTTTCAACTACAGAATATCATAGTAGAATGCACAAAACAAAATATGCAATTATAACCCTTAATAGCTGTCGCTCGCGACTCCGTCCGCAAGGAATTAAGAAAAAACTTAATAAGAAGCCCATGTGTTTTTCCAGACTAAGTTCATTATGTATGCCAAATTTAATTGAGATCCATTGAGCCGTTTCAAAGATATCTGCAAACATCCAACCATCAAAACTTTCCCATTTATATTACTATCTTAAAGTGCAGTCTTTCCATTCAGTTAAGTTGTAACGTCTCGATTTTCAACTCCATACACAGATATAGGGTGCAGATAAATAAATACATACCCAAAAATGTGTAACCGCCTTCTTATGCCTATCTTCTGTGGTACGTATGAAATCTGTATGGTTAATGTTGAAATCTCTAAACAGATCTCTGTACTCTTGAGATATTATGTCACAATATGTGGACAGAGATAAGTTGGCTTTGGTCGCTGCTTGTTGAATCTTTGTGCCATGCTCGTCTGTGCCTGTTTACAAATATAATTTACGCTAACATTCGTAAGAAACAGGATTCTTATCTTCTTCTTCTTCTTTTAATTACAAGTGGACCCCATCGTTTAATTTCGTCAACGTCAAGGTCAAAGGTAATTGAAAACGTAAAAAGAAAGATCAAAAGATTAAATAGCAAAAAACAGAGAGGAGGATTTTTATCTAAATACCTAAATATGGGGAGGTCAAACAGCTTAATCATGGTAAGAATCCTGTTTCTTATGAATGAATGTAAGGATATTTTTTGCCACGTAATTCTAGGATGATACAATATAAATTAGACTATATAAAAAGTTACTAACTGCTGTTTTTTTTCTACCTATTCCAAGTGGATAAAGTCAACAGCAAACTGTTATTCATACCAATTTCATTTGTTTTAATATGAGATTTTAACTGACCTGTGCTAAATATTATATTACAGTCGGGGTTTGTGAGTTTTTCAAATCTCTGCACAGCATCTGCCACCAATGCTGAGTATAAATGTCCTAAATGTGGTGCTGAAAGGTAACAAATTTTGTTAAACTTGAAATCGAGGCGATTTTAAGTTTATGTTACATTGCTTAAGATGCAACTTGGAATTGAAGACGATATCTCAAAAATATTTTAAATTTATTTACCGGCATTTACGTAAAAAATCGGTGTAGTGACATAAAAAGGCCTTTTTCGCGCTACAGAAGAAAGTAACCTTATTGTAAGTCTCATTTTAAAAACCCTTCTTTATTAATTATCACTATCACTATATTATACGGTGAAGAGATTATCTTTATAGTTTAATTTTATTTCATATTTTATGTAATTATTAAAACTGAAAATCCCAATTAGTTTAATTAACATTTGACTTTGAAGTTTTACTGCTTGTGTTGTGTCATTTTGACGTTACTAGAGCTTGCAATGTACTTTTTAATTTTACGGTTATTCCAGAAAAATCGTAAACTTTTGTATTTCTAGACAACTTATGGCATTTACGGGTGATTTTCAATGTTTGTCTCCGTTATTAATTATTTTACAGCACTTTTTTTTCTCAAAAATGATACTGTAATGTTAAAACAAAAAATAATCCAATCGATAAATTAACAAAGATTACTACTATGGGCACTTCACTAACAATATTGATATTGCGTTTGACTTTTGACATTTTAATTTGACATTGAAAATAAATAGGAGGAATCGATCGATCTCTTTACATTTGTAAAAGATATTTTATGTGATGAAAAGAAAAGTGAAAAAATAATAAAACGAGAAAAACTCAGATTTATACAAAATGTCTCACGGAAAGGTCGTGCTGATGGCTTGCGGCAGCTTTAGCCCGCCGACATATATGCATTTGCGTATGTTTGGTGAGTAATTTTTCTTGTTACATTGTAAAACATTTTTCTTTCAATTAATATTGTAAAATACTATCTTCATTTGTACTTTAGAGCAGAATTAGAATATTTATAAACTTAATTAAAAATTTTCTTGGCATTTAAATAAAAAGGAAAGAAAATCCCTAAACAGTATATCAGTGCAAGCAAATATTGATTTAAAGCTTTTTCATTTTAAAAATAACAGCTAAAGAGTACATTTGCCTTTACAAATAACATTTGCTTTAATATTATTTACCTGTTTGATTATATTTGATAACATTGTGTGGTATAAAAGAGAAATATTTACTTGTGATAAAATTCTTGATATCATGATCAAGGCTTTCATCTCATAATAATGTCAATAGTTTTGTGTTTATCTTACTTCATACTAATGTTATAAATGCGAATGTTTAGATGGATGGATGGATGTTTGGTTGAAGGAATCTCTAGAACAGATGCACACAAAATATCTTGCTGAAATTTGGCGAGGATGTAGAACTCTGTCTGAGTCTGATAGTCTACTAATTCATTTTTTTTTAATTTCGCACTGAAGGATTCGCGGATGATAGCTTGATTTTTCATATGTTGCACTCTGATTTGATTTAATTTCTTTACTTTTTCTTAACCCTTAAATCATTGTGTTAAATAGTCAAATGCTTTTCAGAATTACTAGGATCAATTGCTAAGGATGTATCTATATTTAATATGTTATTCCTTAGATTAGAGTATTCAAATAATATATTGGACTAACAACCTCTATGGAGTGATGTTGATATAAAATTATGTATGTTGTAGAATTTACTAGAAACATTAACAATTTGCGTCTGTCTTTATAATAAATTGTTAGGGCATAGTGTCATATTGATAAATATTTATCAACTGTGTTTTGTTCCGATAATCTGATAATATTTTAGGACTACAAACATCTATGGAGTAATATTAATTTATATGTTTATTAAAAACATAAGAGAGATGAAATTATTGTTTTAAGTTTAAATAGTAGCGGCTGACTGTAAATCTTACTTCTTATTCTAACTTTAATCTAACTTCAAAGTCAAATGTTATTATAATGTATGGATGGTTGGATGGTTATTTATTTTGATAAATTTGACATAGGTGTAGAATATGGTCCGGAAGAACACATAGGCTACTAATAAAGCTTTTTTAGCCATTTTTATATCAGTTTAGTTTATACTAAACTGATATAAAAATGGCTAAAAAAGCTGTGTCACAAAAGTTTGAATAATTTAATATCAAGCTTCTTTTATTCTTTTAAATAATGAATAATATTAAAATTGATAATATTATGAGACTAATGAAATCCATAGAGTGGCATTCATTTTATTTTACTATTGGACTAATGACATCCATAGAGTAGTATTTAATTATTTTTTTTATTTACAGAAATAGCAAGAGACTACATGCACAATTTAGGTCTAGGCACAATAGTGGGGGGTATAATGTCCCCTGTTCATGACGCATACGGCAAGAAAGACCTTGTTGCTGCACAACATAGGTATGACTCAGTTAATTGCATGTTTATGGTGTTTTCTGTGAGTAATGTGTTTTATTTGGAATGTTGCCGTTGTTAAGGATCATTAGTGTTGAGGTCATGGTTTTTTGTTTAAATTTACTATAATATGTGCAATTTAAGAGCGTCGGTGGCTCAGTGGTTAAAGCATTTGACTTGTAATCTGCAGATCCTTGGTTCTAATCCCGCCATGTACCAATGTGTTTTTCGATTAAATTTTCATATGTACATTTATCCGATGTTCTTTCGGTGAAGGAAAACTTCGTGAAGTAACCTGCACATATCTGAGAAGAAATTCAAAGATATGTGTGAAGTCAACCAACCCGCATTGGGCTGGTGTGGACTATGGCCTAATCACACCTAACTTAGGGTAGGCTCCAAGCCCCTCGGTGGGGACGTATACTGATGATGATGATGTGCAATTTAATAGATAGTGTCTTTAGACGTTAGTAGAAAGATGGTTTTATACTCTTAAGTTGTAAATAATCTTTTAACAATTCTACACTTATTTTAATAAAAACAAACAGTCTTACGTCTTACTAATATTATAAATGCGAATGTTTAGATGGATGGATATTGGTTTAAGGTATCTCAAGAACGGCTTAACGGATCTTGATGAATGTTGGCATACCAGACATAGCCTGAAAGAACACATAGGCTACTAAAGCTTTTTTTTGTTTTCTCGCGGACGGAGTCACGGGCGACAGCTAGTTTGCTGTATAAAGTGAAGTAGCTATACTTCTTCGTAAAGTAATTAAATGGTATACTTTAAATGAAAATATTAACCCAATTTAAACTATTTAAAAGTGTAGGCTAATTATAAAATGGATTTGACTCGTTTTTTAATTCAAGTGCACAGTTCTAACTTGCGCTGCGAGTTCTATAATTATAAAAGTAGTTCAGGTCAAGGTTTCTCATCGCTTTAAAGTGTAAAATGCAATTTTATCGCTAACTAGAAGTCGCCCGCGACTTTGTTTGTCCAGAATTTAAAAAAGTAGTCCATGAGATAACTTCATCTATTTTTTTTATAAAAAAAAGGGGAAGGGGAATCTATGTAGCTATCTTTCAGCAAAACGTACAGACAGATAAAAAAATGTTTTTTTCTTTATAAGCAAAGGAAATACATCATGTGTACGAAATATAATTTTTCTCGATATTAAATACAGACAATCCAATTTTATTAATATGTATAGCTTTTAAATAGTTAAATTAATTATATCAGATGCTTAAAGAAAATACTAAATTATAATTTTCTTTACTTTCGTATATAAAAGGATTTTTAAAAATAACATCCATTTAAATTTTGATAATCTGCATTTATTTACCTATCCATTTATATACCAACCCATGTATCCATTGAACTACTTATCCATTTATGTATGTATCCATATGATGTTGCAGGATATCCATGCTGCAGCTTGCATTGCGTACATCAGGCTGGATTAAAGTGTCAGAGTGGGAGACACAGCAGTCAGGCTGGACAAGGACCAAGCTCTCTCTGCAGTATCATCAGGTTATAAATATATTATTCCTTTTACGTCTCAATTGAGATTTGTCCGTGAGAAATAAAAAAAAATTAGTAGCCTATGTGTTCTTTCAGGCTATGTTCTATATGTATGCCAAATTTCATCAAAATCCATTGAGAAGTTCCGGAGATACCTTCAAACAAACATACATCTAAACATTCGCATTTATAATATTAGTAAGATATTGTTTTTTTAATATAATTTTTAATTTATACCTTTCAGGATGCTATTAATAGTCACCTAATGGGTCAGGAGATGTCAGATCCACCTCCATGGCTTCCCGATGACATTCTGAATGTGAACAGTATTGATGAGCCGGATAATTTAATGGAGAAATTGAACGGAAACTCAGATGACAGGATCACTATCAAATTGTTATGTGGTGCTGATTTATTGGAGTCATTCGCTACACCTGGATTGTGGTCTGATGAGGATGTAAGTTTTTACAATACATATGAGAGATTTTTGTATGTGTGAATTTGAATGTATGTTAATTTTATTATAATACTAGCTCATTTTATTTCATCATCAGCTCACTATAAATCCTCACTGAGGTGCTCGGAGCCTACCCTAAGTTATGTGATTAGGCCATCAACCATGCTGACCAAGTGCGGGTTGACTTTACACATATCTTTGAATTTCTCAGATATGTGCAGCAACACTATGTTTTCCTTCACCGTAATAACGTCGGATAAATGTACATATGTAAATCGGAAATAGAAAAACACATTGGTACATGGCGGGATTTGAACCCAGGACCTGCAGACAAGTCAAGTGCTTGACCCCTGAGCCACTGACTTTCTACACACACTAGCTGGATAAAAAAAAACTTAATAAGTAGTCTATGTGTTCTTGCACAATATGTTCTACATATTTTATCAGGAACCGTTGAGTCGTTCTAGTGATACCTTTTAACAAACATCCATACATCCATTTTAAATTATAAATTATAAGTTTTATTATTTGAAGGTCTAAACTTATTTTGTTAAGCTTATAGTTATTTTATTAGTATTCAGTTTTCTAATTCATTATTTATATTTTTTTACTTAGTTTTTTTTAAATCTAAATTAAAAAGTGACCTAATATTCCAGCTGGAAACTATAGTAGGTAAACATGGTCTTGTGGTGGTGACACGAGCCGGCAGTGACCCGGGACGATTTATATATGAATCGGACATGCTATATAAATATCGGGTAAGTATATTCAAATATATCTTACTGTCATACTCACAATTGTTAATTAATCATTAAATAAGGTGACTTTAAGTTTTAATTTTTTTTTTAATCTGATAAGTGTCAATTTTGACATTAACAGGTGGTTTTTCTAAGATTTGTTATTTTAGTTCCACCTTTTGGCCACTGAGCGTATAATTTTCGTATTATATTAATTTCAAGAGACTGACAATTATTATTAAAATAATTACGATTTTTTTATTTATTTACGTTATCTTATTGGCTTATTTAATTCGACTTTGATACTTTATATTACAGAAAAACGTGATATTAGTAACAAATTACATAGCAAATGAGGTGAGTTCAACAGTTATCAGACGGCTGGTGCGACGCGGAGAGAGCGCCAAGTACCTCACTGATGACTCCGTGCTCGCATACATACGACAGAACAGACTGTACGGCGCAACTCCTTATATCACGTGAGTTTATGAAAATATTTGGCTGAATCATGTTCACTTTTGTCCGTTTGAGATGAAAAAATTACCTGACAGCTGTCAATTTGAGTTAAAATTGTTTTTTTTTTGTTGGCTTAATAATGTTGATTTTTTTCCGCTTGAGGTAAAAAAATGGCCTGACAGCTGTCAATTTGAGTTAAAATTGTTTTAATTTTGGCTGAATGATGTTGACTTTTGCCTGTTTGAGGTGAAACAAGATAATTTGACAGTTGTGAAGGTTCAAGTCCGCATAGAAAAAAAATTTTGGCAGAATGATGTTGACTTTCGACCGTTTGATGTGGAAAAAAATTACTTGTCAGCTGTCAGTTTAAGTACACGTAGAATTTTTTTTTGGCAGAATGATGTTGACTTTTGTCCGTTTATGGTGAAATTAACTTGACATCTGTCAGAATTTGAAGTTTCAAGGTTATGTTCCATGTCGAGTTTTTTTGTTTATTTGACGTATTTTAAATGTTATGATGTTAATTGAAAATGTTTTGTTTTGTTTTATAATTTTGTTTTTGATTGTTATTTTTTTATTTATAATATAAATTACGATACGATTATCAAATAAAATAAGTACTTGTCGATTTTGTCATTACAAAGTTATGAAGTTTACATAGTTTTGATCGTTGAAATTAATAATTTTTTTTTTTTCTCTATTCTCATTTTTTATCTGTTGCTATTAGAATATTGGAGTATTTCATAAATGTCTTTAATACATTTGTTATCTTCACGCTTACCACGGATTCAGTGAGTATAATTTACTAAACGATTTAATCGCGACATACGACAAAAAATCCCCACAAGACGTCATAATGACGTCACCAGAGGAAACAAGCTTCAAGAACATTCTAATATCCATCCGCGACAAACCATCCATAATTGACGAAACAATTACAGTAAAAAGACCAAGGAAAAACTTCCTAGCACCAAATCATACTGATTCGATCAGCCCAATCGACTCAATTAAACCTAAAATAGCGTACATAGACAAAGTGCCAGCGAACTATGTCCCTGGTAAAGCTGTGAAAATTGTCAGCGATGAGACAGAACATTCAATTGAAAACGAAAAGGTAAGCATCTCCGAATCTACACATTCCTCACTCGATAGTTACCTATCTAAAGATGATTATGACATTTATAAACGAAGAGTTAGCGAGGGTAATTTACAAAATTCAAATATCAAGAAACGTTGTTCCACATCGACTATACGCAAATTGAAATCTGACGAAATGCGTAAAAGTAAATCGGAGGTGAGTAAGTTGTGTGAAAAAGTTAAAAGTATAAAATTAAAAGAGAAAGATGAAAAGAATTATAAAACTAGAAGTTGTAATGACATTGTCAGATTGATATTGACTAAACACGGTATACATGTGATTAGCGATACGGAAGCTATTGTTTAAATCATTCGTTCTGAGTGAATGATTTAATTCTTTCACTAACAAAGATAAATTGATAAATTTATATTTTATAAAATGTTAAAATAAATCCTTTGAATTCATTCAATCATTCAAATCAATGTCGTTCATTTCATTCACTTATTCACAGTGAATGAATTAATGTAATTAAAAAGGTCTGATATTCCCATATTGTGCCAAATACCATAGCCTCAATCGTTTCTATTAGTCGATAATAATAAAAAAAAACAAAATCGATTTTTAATCCTTTTTAAAAATCATTCAACTGTCATTCATTCATCATTCAGTTGTATAAAACATTTCTAAATATTTAAATATTACTATTGAATAGAAATTATTAAAATATTTTGAATCTTGAATGTTATATAAAATTTTATATATTTTCAATCAAAATGTTACATAAATATGATACGGTTAAAACTATCAAAAATATTTATTCTTACATATGCCAAATAAATGTCTTCCCAGAATTTATTTACATCCTGTATATTTATTATTAAAAAAAAGTTCTCAATTCCCACCTTTTAATGTTACGTAAATAGCCCACAATACTGAGTTTCTATTGGTACAATATTTCCGTAAAAAAATATTCTTGTCTATGACTTTCATAGAGTATGAGATAAGTTTTTTTTTCTACTATATCGGAAATATTCCAAACTATTTCCATATATTATATTAAATATGTATTAAATAGTTATTTGTTAAATGTTGTTGTAAAAAAAATGTTGTATTCTTCAAAATATATCTGTCAATTTCTGTACTTTTCTAAAAATTTTATCTGAATGTTAGATTATACGTAAGTATTAAAAATATAAATTCAATATTCAGACATTTTTATATGTCTTGTTATAATTGTTTTTTTCTATTCGCATGCAATCTCTGCCTATCCCATTTTGATGTACGATTTTATAATAAATTAGTCGCATGTGTATAGAGATTAATTTCCATTTTTTTTTAATCTGTAATTTTCGTGTTGTGATTTTTTTATTTCCCATTTTGAGACTGACCAATGAGGTTTTATAAAATACAGATTTCCATCCAAATAAATTGAATGGATTAGTTATCGTTTTAAAGGTTTTTTAAGAGGTTAGGAAACTTACTTTTTGTTTTCGTATGAGGATTATTTTTACTAAACAAAAAAAAATTAAACTTAAAAAAGTCAAATTCGCCGCCAATAATGAAATTTGACATGTGTCAAATTCGATGTTGAATCCAAACGACAGATAGTCTATGAATGAAATACTGAAACCTCATTGGTCAGCGTACTGTATACTCTATGGCGGATGCTAACATGTGCTCTATGGTTGTGTAGGGAGGCTGCCCGCTGTAGCTGAGGTGTTGCGCGCCCCACCACTGAGCGCGCTCTGCCTAGTGCCCACCCCATCCTAATACTTAGCTTTACTCGCATGTATTACCACATCCAGGGTCGTTAAGTCTCGCTTAGTGTGGGAAATGTACACTCAGAGATCTTTAGTGACTTACGGCTCTGTGATGGTTTTAGTGTACTTGCAAATGAATTTATACGTAACTGGAAAATAGATATAAAGGTCATCCCTTACTTTCCTCTTTCCATATATAGGGTGTCCCAAAAGGTTACGTACATAGGAAGGGGGATGATAGGGGTGGTCACAAGGGTCATCAGAAAAATAAAATAAAAATTCCCCTCTGGGTATAAAAAAAAATAAATGGCATTTTTTAAAAACTTAAAAATTTTACACTTTCTGGGGCAATTTTAATTTTCTTTAAAATCTTTGTTAGTTGTATTGTTTTTTTTTTATTTCATATTGATAAAGAGTTATTGACGATAACATAATAGCTTTTTTTAAATATAGCAATATTTGTAGATCATCGGTTACAAAATTGCCCCATAAGGTTTAACATTTTTAAGTTTTTAAAAAATGCCATTTATATTTTTTAATACCCAGAGGGGAATTTTGTTGCCACCACTTGTGACCACCCCTATCATCCCCCTTCCTATGTACGTAACCTTTTGGGACACCCTGTGTAATCCATATTCTTCAATCTTTTATGTTGTACTAGCTGACGTCTGCGACTACGTACGCGCGGCATTAAAAAACAGTAGCATATATCTTCTTCAAGACTATATTCTACATGTATGAAAACTTTCAGCGAGATCCATACATCCGTTCTCTAGATGCCTACAAACAATCCATCCATCCATCTAAACATATGCTATCTATATATCAAATAAATAAAAATGTTTTGAACACCTGGATGATTTTAATAATTTCCAGTCATGTATAAATTCAACATTAATCTACTTTCAAGTGAAATAGATAAAATTGTTGCTTATATCATAGTTAATCGATGTTTAGCTTAGCTTTAGTAATTGAACCTTGGATTTTCTGTAAAAAAGAACTGTAAACAAAGTACTGTATTTTTTTTTTATATAAGTCGCTTTCTGCCTTATTGTGTTGCGACAAGGTAGTCAATTTTCGACTTTAAATATAAATTAATTTGTTCCTCAATAATAGTTATGTTTAACATTTTTTTGTGTTTAGTTTTTTTTAATTATTATAAGTTCCTAAAACCTATAAGTACTTAAGAAAGGTTTTTTTTGCAAAAAAATTTTTTATTCTAAATTCGAGGTGGATATTTGAAATATATTTATTTAGTTGTCTATAATATTATTATAAAGCGGAAGAGTTTGTTTAAACGCGCTAATCTCAGGAAGTACTGGTCCGATTTGATTTATTTTTGTGGGATAGTCCATTCATAGAGGAAGATTTTAGGCTATATTACGCTGCGACTAATAGTTTTTTTAATGCCGTGCAGACGGAGTCGCGGGCGACAGCTAGTGAATATAATTTGGGAATAAAATAAATATAATTTAGTGAAGGATCTCTATGAAATGTTTTATTTAACTTAATTTTGCTCGTCTGACCAAATGATATCTTGCTAGCATTTTTTTATTAATAAAAAGCATGTTTTTTTTTATATATTTGAGTTAGTTTTAATATATTTTGCATTTATACATATGAGATATGTACTTAATTTTTAAGAATTAATTTTGTCAAGGACATCGAATAATTTTTAAATATGTTGCCATAGTAGAAAATTTATTTAAGCCGGTGTTTTAATTTTTAATTATATAAGCTATTTTTATTTTTAATAGACAATTTTTAATTGTATAACGATAATATCTAAAATCTAGAATGATTAACAAGTTGTAATTTTGTTTGCGTGAAGAGCGTCGGTGGCTCAGTGGTCAAGCACTTGACTTGCAATCTGTAGGTTCTGGGTTCGAATCCTGTCATGTACCAGTGTTTTTCGATTTCCGATTTACATATGTACATTTATTCGTCGTTCTTACGGTAAAGGAAAACATCGTAATGCACATATCTGAGAAGAAATTCAAAGATATGTGTGAAGTCAACCCGCAATTGGTCAGCGTGGTTGATGGCCTAATCACCCTTAACTTAGGGTAGGCTCCGAGCTCCTCGGTGGGGACGTAGTAAGCTGATGATGAATTTTGTTTTGGTTTGTGTATATTTTAAAATTAATTTAGGAAGCTTCGTTTACATTTCAGATTTTATAAATTGCTTATGACATAAAAAAAGTTTAATGATCATCACAGATAATAAAAGTATTACTATAGCTTATTGAAGATTATAGTGCACATATTTTCAAACTGTTATATATACTGTAAACTGATATAAAAACGGCTAAACAGTCACGTATATTCGTCCGGTGGCGGCACCGACTAGTTTCGAGCCCATCGGTGACCCTTCATCAGGGTGAGTGGGACTCGAAACTAGTCGGTGCCGTCACCGGACGAATATACGTGAGTGTTTAGCCGTTTTTATATAAGTTTATTATAATGTCTCAAGAAAGTTTTAATAATTTAATGTTATATATACTATGTCAAATCTAACTGAACTGCTTAATAAATGTTCTATTTATTTATTCATTTTGTTTGATTTCAACCTTTTTCTTCTCTCAAGTATCATAGAACTTCTAATACTTATGTGGTCCTAGTACCAACTACTCTGTGACAATGCAAAAGAATAGTTCTATACCCCAATAGGGGTCAAATCCACCCCCAGAAACTACAACGATACCTAAATTACCGATTTCCACAGACATCCAAAGTTAAAAGATTGCAGAATTATACTTACTACTTACTCCGCTGGCGCATCGACCCAAAGTGGGTCTTGGCCTCCGACACAAGAGATCGCCAAAGTCGCCTGTCTTGCGCCTTCTCCTGCCAGTCCATCGCTTGTAGCTCCCGCAGATCCAGCTCTACGGAGTCTCGTCAGCGGTACCTGGGCCGACCGATGGGTCTTGCAGAATTATGATTAATTGATAACCCTTCCACGTCAAACCTTCATCAGGAAATAGTAGGAAGGGAAACGGAATAAAACGAGGATATTCCTAACCTTTTGAATATAATAAGTAACAATTGATTTAAGTAAGGAATTCAAAGATATGTTTGAAGTCAACCAACCCGCACTTAACCAGAGTGGTTGATGGCCTAATCACCCTTAACTTAGGGTAGGCTCCGAGCTCCTCGGTGGGGACGTATAGCTGATGAAGTAACTCCTATAGACAAGATAAGCGATTAGTCCCGAAACTATTTAATTTAGAGCTTTACCAATTATGTAATCCTTTATGTACCAAAAAAAATATTTGAACTTTTTAATTGTGTTTTCTGGAGGCAAATCGTTATTTTTCCCTTCAAGGATTGGCAATAGTCTTTGGAAGAAACAGGAAAAAGTCAAGGAAATTTCGCTTCAGTAGGCCTTAATTTATTTCGTACTTTATCTTTAGATTATACGAGACATTAGAAATGATAATATTTTACATAATAGGGTAATTATATTAATATATATTTAATGAAATAGCACTCTATGGTATAGATAAAGCAACTAGTTATTATAAAATAATCTAAAACTAATGTTAAACTTGTTTGTAAATTTTTCGCAATGAAACTTTGTCATTAACTTATCTTTGATGAGCCTAAAATAGCAAATTCGTTAAGTTTTTTTTTATTCTCTATTAAAATGTATATTAGTAGTTTTCTGTTTAATAATCAACACTAGCTGTCACCCGTGACTATGTTCTACATCTATGCCAAATTTCAGCACGAAACTGAATTGCCACTGTTTGCCTTGAGGAGGCATTTACAGCTTCACCGGGCTTGAGGTGGCGGAGCGCAGATGGCACTTAGCCTACACCTCGTTTAAGAGTAACTAAGCTTAAGGGCTCCCTAAGGAACCTCGGCTCGGGCCGTTACTCCGTTATTATTACCGGATTGGGAGGTCACGGAGCTCTTAGGTCGCTTTGGAGGACGCTCCTTGGAGTGACGGGGCTCAAGGGCCCCCGAGAGGGGACCTCGGCTTGGGCTGTCACTCAATGCGCGTTTAGCATTCCGATTCAAAGGTGCCCGAGAGGGTCAAACCTCGGTTTGATCGGTTGGTGTTTTCTGATTATAAATTTCAGCATTTCGCTGAAAATTGGCTTTTGATAAATTCCTGGAGATACCTTCTAACAAACATCCATCCATCCATTAGTAAGATTACTTACTTCTGCTTGTATAACTTTTTATATAAGAAATTCTAGAAAAAAAAAAGATAAATAAAAAACGAATTATTATTAACGATTTATTTAAATAACAATTTATTTTAACTTAAATCTATGTTACTGTACAATTATTACTTGAGTACATTAAAAATTAATGTAAAAGATCTACTTTAAAAACATTTTGGACACCACTTCTTAAAAATCACCGACAAATTTTGAATTCTGCAATTTTATAATTTGTCTAGACAAATACAAATTATATTAACTAACAATTCAACGTTTTATTTTAGATATTTTGTGACATACATATAAAAGTATAGAAACTTTGATAAGGGAGATTAGACAAAACGCAATCAAACCACTAGATTTTAGATAAAAAACACGAAATTGCTCGTGTTTTGCTTCACGATGTATTTCAAAATTATACAAATAAAAATGTACAAACAAAAGTTTCTAAAATGATAACCTAATTTAAATTATCGTCTTCCAAATAAAAGAACGTATAATATATCTATTTAAGATAGAGTTTGACAACTGACGCCTATAAAGTATCGAATTAATTTTGTATGACGGTTAATGTTGTACTTGATGGACGGTTGTCATAATGTCGGACTGTACGCGCATCAACGAATAACTGTGAACTTACGAAAATCGATCTTGTAATTATATTAATCCAACAAATGGGTTCTATAATTTAGATGTTTTATTACTTTTTAAACTAGTCAGTTTTTTTACACACATTTAGCACATATTTAGCGATGTCTCGCGCAATTAAGTCAAAAAAACATTTAAAACAGTTCTTTTTGTTTTTAAACATCTCAATTTTAGGTTATATATTTTATTTTTCTATGTAGTTTTGTTTTGTATACTTTTACTTTTTTATTGTGTTGTGTTTTTTAACTGTGATTTACATCGATTGCAAGTTCTATGACAACAACCATCGAAAAAAATCTTAATCAATTTTAATCAAGCCATCTCTAGTGAATTGTCAAACTAATCTATCTTAAATAGACACACTATAATCTTTATTTCATATTAAAATGGTTTGATAATTTAAACTCACCAACACACAAATAATATAAATTACAGTTAAACGGATGTCGACATTCAAACTAAAAAACTACGTCTACGAGAAAAGAAGTTTCTGACAAAATATTATTGACTAGGTTTTCTTAATTTTATCTGGTTCACACTGACACCATGGAGTTAATGTTTTATTGCATATTAATTTCACATTAACTATAGTGACAGGTAACGAGTCTATGGTCACATTATGAGTCTTGTCGATTACATAGTCAACGCTATGCAAACCTGTCACTCTGTCTCTACGTCGTGTCACTTCTCTCTGATTAAAACATTTTCTCATATCTCGCTTTCTATATGTCTTATCGTGTATATGTCTGAAAAAAAAAATTACATTGACTTAGGTTTGATAGCGCATTCGCTTCGAAGCGATTCCATAACCAAGTTTAAAAAATTGAACTGACGCGCGACAATCACGTGACTTATCCAAAGTTATTGTCAGTTCTATCTACCTGGCCTGTCTAGCTAATAGGTTTGGCGACCTAATAGCTGGACAGGCGAGGCAGTTTGGTTGGACATTTGGGTAGAAGGCGTTACGAGCAGCCTACATTATTTAGGATTTTCGGCTTGTCTGTCCTGAACGGCTGAACGGACATCGATAAAATTTGGTATACATATAGAACATAGTCTAGAAGAACACATAGACTATTGTTTTGTTTTATTCCGCGCAGAGGGAATTGCGGGCGATAGCTAGTATTAGTAAATAGATGATACAATCAAATACTACGTAGAAATAAGGAAACCGGCGATTTATCATTTAATCTCGATAAAAATAACACGAATTCTGAAAATACAACAAGATTATTGTGATAAATATTATCAATTGGCATTTATATTGTAATACTAGTTGTCGCCCGCGACTCCATCAGCGCTAAATAAAAAGAATAGATAATTAGTAGCCTATATGTTCTTCTAGACTATGTTCTACATGTATGCCCTTCAGCGATCCATGCAGCCGTTCTGAAGCCTTCTAACATACATAATTGAGAGCGTCGGTGGCTCAGGGGTCAAGCACTTGACTTGACTGTAGGTCCTCGGTTCGAATCCCGCCATGTACCAATGTGTTTTTCGATTTACGATTTACATATGTACATTTATCCGATATTACGGTGAAGGAAAACATCGTGATGCTGCACATATCTGAGAAATTCAAAGATATGTGTAAAGTCAACCAACTCGCACTTGGCCTTGGTTGACTATAGCCTAATCACCTTTGATTTAGGGTAGGCTCCAAGCCCCTCGGTGGGGATGAGGTAATACATCTAAACATCCGCATTTATAATATTAGTAAGATATGTATAGATTTTAGGTTTGAACAAACTTTCATCATAGTATTTTAATGTGGCATAGTATTCATTGTCGCAGTTCTGCCGATACTTTAGTTATAATTTCATTCATTCCAATGTTACTATCTTTAAATACCTTTTTCATTTGATATGTATTTATTCTGATATTGTTAACGTTATTTCTGGAATTTTAACGAACTCTAGCGACGGATCAGAATACTGCGTAAGAACATATTTTCTAAGGACTTCGTAACTACTATTGTAGGTATTTAGAGTTAATATAAACGAAATAGCAACATAATAGACAGACAAAAGCATCGATGGCTCAGGGATTAAAGCACTTGATTTGTAATCTGTCCTGGGTTCGAATACCACCATGTACTAATGTGTTTTCGATTTACATATGTATATTTATCCGACGTTATTACTGTGAAGGAAAACATCGTGATGCTGCACATATCTGCGAAAAAATGCAAAGATATGTTTGAAGTCAACCCGTACTTGCCAGCGTTGAGTATGACCCAGTCGCCCCTGACTTAGGGTAGGCTCAGAGCCCTTTAGTGGGGACGTATAGTGAGCTGATAAATAGACAAGGCATCATCATATTAAAGCGGCAACCCTTGGTAATACTTGCGAACGTCAAGTGGCATTTTTTTTACTGACAATTATCAGTTGTTTTGTTTTTTGTATGTAGACATTGAAAATATTGAAAATAATATTTAGGTATATCTTTAGGATCGATTATAAGGTTCGGAAATAAACAGGAAGATTTTTTTAACTCTACGTTGCTTTAAATATAAAATATATTTTTAAAAAAGTGTTACACATTTTATTATTTACTCTACGAACCTATTTATCTTATGTATTTTTTTTTATATCATAAGGTCGCCAACGCGCGAGCGGCCATCTGAAATCGCTGAAATAGCGAAGTGACCGTTGCCCATAGACATACGCAATTGCATATGCGTTGCCTACCTATAATCCACGGAAGAGAGGATGCACTGAAATAAAATATCTTCCCTTTCCATGCATCCTCTCATCCGGAAAGTCCACTTCCACTTCCCATCATTTCCTTATAAGAAAAAGGGTGGGAAGGGAAAGAGGACTAAATTAGGCCTCCGGGACGCACACTCATCAGACGAAACGCGGAATTGCTTCCACTTGACGCCTGTCTTCTGTGTGGTCGTGGTATATCACCGGGCGAACCGGGCCGATTCGTGTGAAGATGTTAAAGCGGGCTCTACCACTGTTAAAAAATTTCATTCATTCAAACTAACTTTTAAATATATAACACGATTTTAACCATTTGGAACTAATTTAAATTTTAAAATAACGTAAGGAAAATTACAATTGTTATCATTTGAGTTAAGATAAAACTTTTGCATAATGAATAAGAAACTGGTTTAGTTTTTACTCCATTTAACAATTTTATCATTATTTAAATGTAATTAATTTTAAAACATTGAATTTAATTATTTTTAGGATTCAGCTCACTATACGTCCCCACCGAGGGGCTCCCTACCCTAAGTTAGGGGTGATAAGGTCATAGTCAATGCTGGCCAAGTGCGGGTTGACTTCACACATGAAAAATCTTTATTGTTATACACAAGAAATTCAAAATTCAATGTTGCCTTGGCTCCTTAACTAGGAAGACCTGTACTTAAGGAGCAAAGGACTTCCCATATATATAAATTTAATAATTGTTTGTGTAGAAAAACA